AAACACCAACCTTTTTAAGCATGAAAGGGCAATCAAATGCAAGCATACGAGCATATCATGAGGACTGAAATGACATTGACAAGTTGGCTTCCAACCACTGAAATGATTGCAAGGATGGCATGCTAGGAGGGGGTCAATGCTTAAGGCATACAGAGAGGTTTAATGGTAGCTATATAAAGCAAAGTGTGGATAACCTAAATGACCAAAACAGACCTTTAGCATGCCTAAAACAAACATAAAGCTTCATAAAGCAAGCCAAATCATTGCTAGAAAACAAGGCTTAAAGCACAAGGCATGTTAAGGCAATTCATGCATTTACAAGACATTGTATGTTTCTAAGCAAGCATGGCTGTACCTAAACCAAAACTCACACAATGCTATATCATGGCAAGGATAGTCATAAAAAAACCCAGTTAAGGCCACTGGCCCCCACACTCAATACACTTAAACACAAGGTGCTCACTAATGAGGCTTTAAATGACCATTATTGAGACAAAAACAAGAAGAATCGACTCTCGTCGTTTTGGTGTGGCCCTCTCCTTCTCTCCTCCTCCTTTAGGCAGCCCTTGTAAACCCCACCATCCTTACTGCAAGTATTTTCCCTGTTAAGATTCATCTGTGTGATGCTAGGCTTGTCCAAACAAGTGGTCCCAGAGATGTTCGAGAGTAGCATAGAGCACAATATATGTGAGGGAAAACAGTGGCACAAAATGTTGAGCGGAGAGTTGAGCTTCATAGTAACAAGGCCTTGGTTACAGCCCAGCAGTCGTCAGAAATTAGCAGGGGCGAACCGTAGAGAGATGTGTGGATGTATCAGGAGAATGATCACGCTTTTTGAAGATTCACCAAAGGACGGGGATTGATGGGTGCGGCGACGAGCGGGAGTATTGGTGCCTCTCTCAGATATTATGAGCGTCACTTTTTGAGCATCCTTTGCGTGAGAGGATTACGTAGAACTCTGGCATTATTCGTTTTGCTTTGCCGTCGCGCGCATTACGTAAAGAATAAATGACACTTAATGAGAGATGCTCTCGGATATGTTATGTGCGAATCTCATCATAGTGTATTTGGATTGAGTGAACCGATTCAGTAAGTGATGAGTGGATGTCTCGTTATGAAGAGGAGGATCCTCGGTATAGGGTCCTATGGATAAGCGGATTCAAGAGTCTGCGAGTTTCAGAGATTAGGGCAATACCAATACTAAGTCTGGTGAAAGTTTTGGGGAAACATCCGGGTGGGGAAGCCACATGGAACGTGAGTTGGATTGTCGCAGAAAAATATCCGCGACATGTTTAATATTGTAAATCATTTGTGTTAGATTTTGTAATATTGTCAACTTAAAGCTTGTTTAGGTATATATGTCTTAGAAGCTGAAAATTTAGAATGTTTTTGGTTAATGAAATATTTTGGAAACTTACCTCGAAATGGAAGTTATGGAACATTGTATATATTGAATATATTGAAAAGTTGTTGGATTGAAAGAAAAATGCATAGTGAATAGCAGTGTTGTAATATCTGTTTTGTTTTGACATATCTCGTGTCATCCTTTAGTGAAGAGATGGAATGGCCAGGTTGTGCGTCTAAGTGGACTGTCTACTATACTTGTGCGATTAAATATTTGGAATTTGAGAAACTTGTATTTTTTATAGAACATCTCTGTGCCTTAATCGGGGAACGAATTCTTTTAAGGGGGAAGTTTAAAGCGACCCCGGTCTTTTCTCTTTAGAATTATTGTATCCGGACTAGCTCTCTGTGGAATCCTGTTCATGTGACCTATGTGGTTGTTGTTGCTCCTTTAACTTCTATAGTGAGTATCTTGCTAAACTCTAGGTTGTGTGGCGGTCTCGTTTCAGCGCTCGTGATTGTAGAGAATCCACTCGTGATGACACGCAAGATTTTAGTACCCTTCTACGCTCGTAAGCGGAGGTTTTCTACGCTCGGAGCGGGGGCCCTCGTTGTGCTCTCCGCTCGACGGAGTTGTCCACGCCTCAGTCTACACAAAATGCGGGATTTCAAATCTCCAGTATTTTTTGCTCTGCAGTTCTTCCGCTCGAGCGTTAGTTTTTACGCTCGAAGCTGTGAATCCCTTGTTTTCTTCTGGAGAAGGTGTAGGACTACTGCCGCCTCCGGAGCCGGCATTTGGTGTTTTGGCATAAAAGCCTCCTAAATCGAAACAGCGAGACGACGCCACCAAGGCTGCTGCCAAAAAAGATTGCAGCCGCCTGCCAAAACCTTCTGAAGGGTGCAAACGGCCGGACGGCCGCTTTTCTTCGAGAATATAGAGATGGAATAGATAACAAACTCAAACTCCTAATCTCAGAGCTCCTCTGAAAAGTACTCTTTTGTAATCCCCTTAATGGGGAAGGGCAAGTGATTCCTGATAGTCTTGACGCTCCGAGCCGGGAGCGATGTCTCCCTCCCTGCTATAGACAATCCCTCTTTCCTCAAGCTTTCCCAAACAATAGCAGCTAAGACGACATACGTCTGCTCGTTGAGATTTCACTTTTCTGACACTTTATTGACCTACTTTTCAGTGTCTTAACTTTTAAAACCGCCCTGTGAGAGTCTCATGTATCTCTACTCTTTCTTCTCTCAAGATTATCTATTTCGGGTCTTCTACCCTAGTGCCTTTGAGAAGTAAACATGTAGAGCTTCATGAGATGTCTTTTCTTTTAATCTGAAAGAGATAGTAGTTTGGAGCACTTTGGTTTTGGCTCATCATCTCCATCGCTTCTCATTTTTGTTCTTTCTTCGAGGTAGGGATTCGCTACATCAGTCTATAGTTTTTTGTTCTAAGTTTGCTAAGATGTTGATCACTTAGGGGACTTTGTATTGGGAAAACCCTAGTTGTATTAATAAATTAATTTTATAATTAATTAAGGAATTGGGGAATTGTAAATTATGAATTGATGGAATTCATATGATTAATGGTTGTAGTTGGATGAATTTAAATCACCACTCGTCTTTAATTGTATTATATTTTCTTTCAGTCTAGATATCCAGCTAACTTGTTTTTGGGCTATCGGTGGAGCGAGAGCGTGATTTCGTTGTGACATTGAATAGATAGGATTAAAACTTGAAACTAATCACTATTGTTAAGTCATTAATTTGACTATTGACATTAATACTGAAAATACGTGATATTTGATGTCTGAGATTGCATTTGAAATTGTGTTGGGAAGAGATAGGGGATGTACTCCACGGTTTAGGGGAGAATAGGGGAATGGCACCTCTAAACCGGATTTGTTTGGAGAGATAGGGGATGGACTCCATTAGCACCATTTTCATGTGTGCTTATTATATTGAAGTGTTTTACATGTTATTGATACAGCATAAAAGGTATCAATACAGGAAGTAGAAGTGTTTTGATATGAGCCATGAGTCTCATTTCTTGTGTATTGAGTATGAAGTGTGATTATGGTTTATAATAGTTCCTGTTGTAAGTTGGACGGGTTCGAGCTTATTGATAAATAATGGAAATTTGAAAATTGTCTAAGAGACGTTAGTGTCATTGAGACTGTATTAAGTAATAAATTGATTATCTGATTACCATCTATTGAATCTATAGCTTTATTCAATGTCTATTTTGGTTAGTATTTTTCTTACTGCGGTGCTTGTCACTCCTTTAATGAGAACATCATTTTCAGAAGTTCAGGATGATAAGACCGCTCACGGATCTAGCCATGAGGATTTGATGCTTTTGGATGTTGCCAAGATAGATACATTAGTATAATGTTTTTATTTGTTAGGGTCATGTAAACATTCAAGCCTATGGTGCTTACTGTATTGAGTTAGTACATCCTCATTTTCGTGTCCAAGTGTTAGCTTGGAAGATGTTAGCCTCATAGGGCATTTATTTTGATGTGTGATGTTACAATAAATCTGTTAATTAGAATACTCTGATGATAACTCCAATAAATTGTTTTTCTTTTATAAATGCATGTTAATTATTATGGTTATTTTGGTTTATTTGAGGCGTTACAGCAGGATACTTCATATATGATTAAATTTATCCGTTTAAAGAAAGAGCGCTCCTCCGAATCACAAGATGACACACATGAAAGACAAACAAGGAATCGGAGCCAAGGGCACGTTATATTGTAAGGTGCGTTTATTTTTTTTTTTTTTTTAAAAAATTTTATATTACATAATATTAAATACAAATCAACCTTCACGGCCGTATGTACACAAGACGTCAAGCATACAAGTGAAAGGAAAAAAAATAATATATTGTGTATATTTATTAAGCCTCCCATTTGGAAAGTGGTTGGCTTTTGGCCTTTGCCTTTGACTATTTAGCCTCCGCCGTCGACCATCTAAAAGTGAATGGGCTTAAAAGTTGTTTGGGAGGGTTTTTAGCTTTTTGGTTTTTTTGGTTTTTGGGAGAGAAGAATCAATGATATAGTGGATGTGAGGTTTGTTTTTATGGCTAAATAGCTATTTGTTTTTTTGATGGCTAAAATAGCAAAAAAAAAAAAAAAAAAAAAAACATAGCATATATATATATATATATATGTTTTAGTTTAAAAAAAATTCATTTTTTTTAAAAAAAATTCTAGTCTTTTTCTTTCCCTCAACATTTCAAATTCAATCAAACATACCCTAAATGTAAAAGTTTGATTAAGTTTTTAGAAACTACTTTTCAAAATTTTTGGGAAAAATTTTGGTTTGACTTTGGAAAAAAATTTTGAGAAAAATTCTCTACAAACAAATTTTTAAGAGTAATCAAACCAAACAAATTTTTTCAAAAAAAATCTCAAAATTTTATTTGATTATCTACTTTTCAAAATCACTCACCCTCTCATACACATCAAATCAATCACTTTTTTTAAAACTTTCTTCCCAAAACAAATTTTCAAAACGATTTCTAAACAAAGGCAAACCAAACAAGTTTTTGTACTTTTTATCTCAAAAACTACTCTACAAACACAAACCAAACAAGCCGTCTTGCCATCAAAACTCATTAAATCTACATATATATATATCATTTTTGAGATAAATTTCAAGACAAAAATCCCTAGTACGTAACATTTTTGTATTAGGAACCATGAACCAAATGGCATTTTCATGTACAAGATGGACATACATGCTTCAAATTCCTTATTAAAACACAAGTAGAAATTATTGAGTAATTAATTATATAAATACACTTCTTTACATCACTACATAGATACTCAACACCTCTTAGAAGGGTTAAAAGAATTGTGAGATGGATTATTCATTGAAGATGCATGTGGAGGAGGCCCTCTTGAATTGTCATCAGAGTGCCTTTGGAACTTTGTAGTGTTGGATGAGTTTCTGAAGAACCTTCCTTGCTTGTTCTTTCTTCTCATATGAGATGATGACTGTGGGATGAACACACCAGTGCCTTTGCTCACTCTTCTGCAAATTTGCTGAGTAGAAGGTGATGATGACTGGGGAGATGGAGCTGCATAGTTTGCTCTAGTGAAGGCCTACAAATGAAAAAAAAAAAAAAAAATCACTTAATTAGCAGAGATAGAATTTAATGTTGGGAACAGACAAAAGATTCTAATTTTAACAGAATATATATGTAATTAAAGACAAAATTGTACACTAATTAAGGTTTACAATACAACTAATATTTTTCAAAAGAAAGATTTATGGGGGCCAGTACTAAATTTTCAAAAAAAAAAAAAAAACTTTTGGGATAAACTTTAAGAAAAAAAGAAAAGTAAATTAATTGTCATTGGATGGTGGTTTGGGATGGTAAATTGGGTTCCTCTGACACAATTTGCACGAAACAGCTGATTTTATATTTAAATTCACAGTTTCAAGGTTTGTAGACCGAACTTTAATTACTGAATTTATAATCTCAAGGGTAAAAATATTTTTAATTAATAGGGCAAATTACATATACCCCTCGAGATTTAGCAAAATTATAGATACCCCTGAGGTTTAATAAATTACAGATACCCCCTGAAGGTACTATTTACATAACAAATTAGGGGGCAAATTGTTATGAAAATATAAACCTCAGGAGACAATTTGTTATAAAAATATAAATCTCAGGGGTATCTGTAATTTTTGAAACCTCAAGGGACTATTTGTAATTTAACTAAACCTCAAGGGAGGTATATATAATTTGCCCTAATTAATACTATTATAATAACAGATGAGTTTCCATAACTCCAGGGATGGTTGGCGGTTATCCAAGTCGCTCCATTAAGTTCATTTTGATTAATGATTCTCTCGAAATGGGCTTATTTTGCCGCACAATAGATGTTGCTGCACGGGCTGTGCAGTAACATCCCAATTCCAACTTTTACTATTAGTATATGTGAAAACTTCATCACGTAATCTAATAGTTAAAAAAAAGTGTATTATGATAGGAAGATAAAGAAAGTTAGTTAAGATTAAAAAAATATTAAAAAAATTAAATAAATTAAATAAATCAATAACATAAAACACATATTGAAATTATAATTATTTCACTTTTTTCTCAAAAAAAAAAAAATCAAAGAGTTCTTCCAAACGAAACTAATTTAACTAGATTAAATTAATCAAAAAAATCAAACTAAAAAAAGTTAATCCAAACCAAGCCAAAAGAGATTTGAGAACATAAAATTTTGTGCAAGATAGTTTTTCTTCAGAGTCTAAACCTAGAAGTTTCTTTGCTAGTAAAACTGAGAAAATTTAGGAGGTGGGTGAAGAACCTGGAGAGAAACTGAAGGACAATGGGTGACTTGGTCTTCATCATCATCCATGATTAGAAGAGAAATTTGCTTGTTCAAGTCTGCAAGAAACACATCATCTTCCACTTCCATGGCTATTTCTATTTCTCTCTCCTTGAGCCAGCTAGAGCTTGCAAGTGTGACTTTGTGCAACAACAAAAATAACAGAGAATTTCAGATCTCTCTCTTTCTATATCTGTCCCTTTTTTCTCAAGTTGTATGGGATATAAATGGGCATTAAGGCATTGTCTGGGATCAACTAAAATGTTATTTTTTTGTTAAATAAATTAAAAGGCAAAAGTATGTTTGGCAAGATTAAAAAAAGTCACTAAATTTTTTTTTCACTAACCAAAACAGTAGACACATCAATTTTTTTTATATTACAAAAAAATCACAAATGTCAAACTCTACCAAAGTAAGGCCAAGGACCTTATATTTCTAAATTTATGTTCATGTATCTCAATGTATTTTTAGTCATAAAATCATATATAAATCGTAAGACATAATTCAATAATAAAAAATGTCAGAGAGAAAAAGATTTAGACATAGAAAATTAGGATGAAATAAAATAAGAGTAATTATTCTATCTTGAATTCTATATTAGTTATATATCTGTACGATAATATTTACATGTTCAAAAACAACGAATATAGTAAACAAATTACAAAATTTCATTGAACATGACCTATATGGTGTTTTGGAGTCATGTGATAATTTATGATTAAATTGGGCAATTAGGGTTAGCATTTTCTATGTCATTTCTCACAACAGTTACAAAAAAATTATAAGACATAATTTAACTATTGTGAATATCTGAAACCAGTGTAGGGATGAACTTAAGGAGAAAGATTACATGCATGGGTTGGAGTACATGTGGGTGGTGGGTCATCTAATGACAGTTGGCCAATCTATCCAAGTCCTACACCGACAAAACCCCACAAGAGTCATGGAGTGGAGAAGCAATTTCGTGGTTATAACGGCACAGTTACGTAGTATTTTAAATTGAATGTAAATTTTTTTTTTTGAATAATTGATTGGATTAGTTTATACACATTTTGATTAATTTCAAGAATTAATCCCACCACTCATTTGTAGAGGCTCTATTTAGGGGTTGTTTGGGATGTCCTAAATAAGTACATTTTTTATCTTTTTTGACTAAAAAATTGAGGTTGAAAATATGGATATTTGAGTTAACTTTTTGACTTTTTATGGAAAAATGTGTAGTAAAAAATTGTAAAAATGGATTTGTAGAGAAAAATTCGAATTGGGAGTAGTGCAGCCGTAATTGTTAACTTTTGATGAATAGTGTTGACTTTTTAACTTTTTGAGTAATTTTTTGACTTTTTAATTTTTTTACAAGTTTCCAAACTTGACCTTAAAATCAGAACAAATATCTTATATGAATTGACTTTATTGCTAAATTGAATGTGATTGACAAAGAGGGTAGGGTTCATTAATTTCTATTAGTGACGAAAAAAAATAACAGAAGACATAACAATTGGTGATTAATTAGAGTAGGTACACGTAATCGCCCTAGGACACCTGATATGATGATCCAACTGGGGAAATAGACGAGGCAGAAGGTCCACACACCCAGACATCCAAGATAGACTTGAATCTCATCATATATACTTGGCTGTGAATGTTCTACTGCTATCTCTCTCTCTCCCTCTACACTACTCAGGGGATAAGTAGAGAGCTTGATACTCCAAAATAAAATTAGTGGGATAAAATTAAATTTGATGTGACATCTAATGTAGTAATTTACATATTTCATTTTTTTATAATTTTTTTTCTCTCTCTCCATAATTGGGTGTCACACATGCATGGAGCAAGGATCCTCTAGAGTGATTTTTCCCTAAAGTTTCCTAGAGTGTTACATTGTGTGGTTAAGATTTACTGGCAAGTCACATCAATTTTTCTGATGTGACTTGCCAGTAAATCTCAACCACACAATGTAGTACTCGAGGAAACTTTAGGAAAATTTCACTCTAGAAGATCCTTGGTGACATGCATGGGTGACTAACTTGATGAGCTAGGTTGAATTTGGGAAAAAATTTCCATATCTTCATCTTGCAGTGGTTCATAGTTAAGCAATTTTGTCAGAAGTCTTGTCATAAATTGCCATACCAATAAACGTACAATTTTCATAATTGGATGACATTCCATGCTAGCCCTTTGAAAAGTAGAGTGAAAGAGCGAGGTGTTTGGTTGATAGGATTAAAGATTTTTTTTATTCAAATCATTCTGTGCTCTTATCTTAAATTATTTATAATTGTTAATATTAAATGTATTATATTACTATGTATCATAATTAACATGTATATATTATACTAATGTAATGCATATATTAAATATACATAGTTATAGGATGTCAGAGCAGCCTCACTTTCGGCTGCTTGCTTTCGGCTACTTTAGTTTATTTTATGCTCCACTTAGTTTATTTTATGCTCCACTTTCATCATAATGTTGTATCACACAACTCCTATAAATGGAGTCCTCTCTTACTCCTTCAGATATAGAATACAAGAATTTCTCTTACTCTCTTAATATCACTCTCTTATTTCTTTCAATAATTATTAAATCATGTAAGAATCTTAAAATAGATAATTCTGAAGACATAATCTAACGTTTGTAACTTACAAGTATTTTGAAATAGATAGACAAACTAACTTCGATATAGATGAGAAGTCATGATGATGAAAATACCTAAAGCCTAAACTCCAAGAGGTCTTGTTTGGTGGGAGGAGAAGGCAGCCAAAGAGCTTACCACTCAAAAAATCGTAACTTCAAATATCACGAAAATCAAATATCTCAACTTTGAGACTACTAGAGGTTTGTCTGACCATTAATTTTAGATTTTTCAAAATTATAATCACCAAAAATTTGTTTGACCATTAATTTCAAAATTCTAAAATTATAAATTAACCTGAACACCTAATTAAAAAAAAAAACTCCTAAGGCCCTAGTAGAGCATGTGATTGTGAAGAGAACAATAATTCAATGAAATGCGGAGTGCATTGGGGGGTCAATAATCCATACATTTATTAACTCATATGGGGCATAATTCAACACAATAATCTTCTTGGATCTTGACATTTTCTTTGCTAAAGTTCATAACTGAGGTGCAAGTACTTTGCTCGTCTTTTCTAGAAAGCAAGTAGTTATCAATTATGGGTGTGAAGAGGCCCACACACCACGTGGTTGGCTGGAAGGGCATAGGAGGTAGTCTCAGTATATGAAACTCTTGTAGAAGTCTAGGGAGGTCAATTTAGATTATAAATTTAAATAAGAAAATAAATGAAAATATGTATAAAAAATGTATAAAAAATAATTGTATTTTATTCATATTTTATATACATATATTTTTTAAATTTCTATTTAAATTTATAAACCAAATACAATCTTACCGTCTTAAGTGGGAGTGTAAATGTTAGGTTGAGAGAGAGCGAGTTTTGTGTTGTCTTTTTCTACTTTTTAACTTTCTCTTATTTTTATCTTTAGTAAATTATTTTAAAATTATATTAATTTTTTTTTTTACTTTTCAGAATCATCTTAGCAAAAAATTCTTAAAAATTAAAAACAGAAATCTAAAAAAGTTCACACCAAAAAAAAAAAAATCAATTTTGAGAACTTTTTAAATAAAATTTAATTTATTTTCATTTTTAATGATTTTTTAAAAATTGATTTTAAAAAAAAATTTAAATTGTCCAGTCAAGACAGATTAAAAAAATAAAAAATAAAAAAAATTTGATTCAAAGTTCAAAAAAGTTTAAAAAAACAAAAATAAGTGGAAAAATTAAATTGACTTCCTAATTTTAACCAAATGAGGGTAACTAGCAAGTCAGGAGTCTTGAGAATAATAACCCTAGCATGTCCCTTGAAGCCTTCGGCCCCGTTTGTTTTGAGAGATAGAATGGAAGAGATTGATAGTGGAGAGATTAATAGTGAGGGGATTATTAGTGAGGAGATTGATAGTGAGGGGATTAGTAGTGAGGGGATTAGTAGTGAGGGATTGTTAAATTATTTTTATATAAAATAATAAAACAAATAAAAAAATATAAAAAATTAAAAATTATATTTTTAAAAAAATTTCCAATATATAAAAAATAAAAAAAATAAAAAAATTTCTAATCCCCTCACTATTTTTCTAATACCATCTCTACCTCCTCACTATGAATCCCCTCCCCAAGGGTATTAGTAATACCAAGGTATTAGTAGTACCCTCCCTATCTCTCAAAACAAACAAGGTATTAGTAATACCAAGGTATTAGTTAGTCCCAAGGTATTAATAGTCCCAAGGCTATCTCTCAAAACAAACACCCCATATAGTAGTTCCACCTCATTATCAAACCCAATCCCCTCCCTATAATCCAAAACAAAAACACATCCCTCTAAAATTAGAATTATAGTTGAACTCTAATGAGGTGAGAAATAGAAATAAAAATTAAAAAAAAAAAAAACCAAAAC